AAAAAAAAAATTGAATTTATTTTTAAATAAGATGCGTTGCCACCCGAAAATCCAGGAAATTTAAAGAAACTTCTAAAAAGTCCAGCATACATAATTGATTTATTATGTTGTGTCAGTAGTTCATTTGCTCTAGGATTTAACGATGCAACGTTAGAACCTCATCTAAGAGAAGTGTGTTTTAAAAATTTGTATTAAATTTAGTTTTTTTTTAATGTAATATTTAAATAAATAATATAATATTTCAGTTTGGTTTATCACCGGTATTATTAGGAACGATTTTTATTGTTATAGGAGCGATCTACGCTCTTGGCTCGCCAATTTGGGGTTTCTTATGTGATAAATTGGTAAATTGTACAGTATATACAGTATAATTTATTTTAATTAATTAAAATATACACGAAGATATATATAATATAAAAATAAAATCATTTCAGCATGGCAGATACACGCATATTTTATGCACAGTTGGTATATTTTTATCACTGATAGGATTCTTGTTCATCGGACCGGTTCCATTTATACCAATACCAACGTAAGTTTTAATTTTAAAACATTATTTAATGGAGAAAATAATTATATAAACGTGACTCAAACGTCATTTAACCGTGTTTTTATACGAAATTCTGCAATTTGTGAAAGTTTGTCTTTTACATATTGTGGAGTTTGTATTGGTTAGCTAATTTTTGGGCCACCCATATTAAATATGATGTAAAATTCAATCATTTATAGAACATTATGGCTCGTCATCGTTGCTCAAGCGTTTCTGGGACTAGGAATGGGAGGAAAATTAATCTGTTCTTTTATTGATGCAATGACAGAAGCAATGTAAGTTATTACAATTATTAAATATAAATTATATATTTTTTTAAACAAAGTTATTCTTTTTATCTATACACGCTTTATTAAGAATTGCAATTTTAATGTTTTATTTGTATGAAATATTTTAACCGCATAGACTTTTGAAAACAAGCTTTTTATAGTGACATGTACGATTTTCCATATTGTGCATACATCATGAGATGGATCTCAATAGTACCTTCGGGTGTAAAAAATAAAATAGCAGCGTGCTGCTCGACTCTAGTACAGTTGAATATGGGCGACGCCATTTTGAGTCTACCACGCTGTTTACGTGGTGAACTAAAATGTCACCCGGCAAGGACGACTGTTGGTAAATGGCCGCATTATTGTATAGTCTTTCAGTATTATTACTATCAACCTTGTACGCTACGTTATTTTTCATTAACAGCGCTACTAACCTTTGTTTTTTTTTTACTGAAATTGCATCGTATTTGCAAGAAAGTCTGAAATCTGTGGAAGTGTTTCTGATCATCAATGCAAAACGTTTTCTTAGATTTTTTTTTTTAAATACGCAGAATGAGTAAACTCTATAACCCGATTTACGACATTTTTTTCTGGAATCAGTTATGTCGTAAAAGTGGAGTATTACGTTGCTAGCTTGAAATTTGAAAAATACAGATTAATATATTTTAACAAGTTTATGTAAAAAATAAGCAGGAAATATTGTAAATTTAATAAATTTTCTGTTTATACTTCACATATTTTCTCTCCTCGGCTAATTCTGTAATGTTTTCCGTATTATTTTTAGAATTTTTCAGTTATCTACATACCAACCTATATTATATTAGAACAACGGTGGGCAACCCCCGGCCCGCGGGCCAGCTACGGCCCGCGAAAAGTTTCTATCCGGCCCGCGAGATGTTTAGAAGAAATTATAAATAAATATTTTTCGATGTAATTCGTCTAGTTTAAATTGAATATTATTTTCTGAAGTGTTGTGGCAGCAATGACAGGAAAAAATAAGGGAGTCTTTCCTTATTCAAACAAAAAATGGGAGAACAGAATTTTTCTAAATTATTTATCTCATCGCATCATCCATCAAGAAAATCTATGTGCAAAAGCTATGCAATTAGAAAATGTAATGTCTGTCGTAGCCAACTACATAGTGCTGTTTTTATTGTGTTTAAAGTCACTTAGATTTTACAAATAGGTGAGCCGTTTACAGCCCGGCACACGCATTTGTAAAATCTAAGTGACTCATACAACATGGAATTTATATAAAACGGAATAATCAACAGCGTTATAGGGGGTCGACTGTAGTAATTAATTTTTTTTTTATTTATTTCATATTTGCAGACTAAAAATTTAGAGGTCATAAAGTGTCAATTAACTACTATGGCCCGCGGAAAAAACGTAAAATTTATTCTGGCCCATGTTATAAAAAAGGTTGCCCACCCTTGTATTAGAATATCGATGTATTGCTATCATATTGTTCCTACTATCCAAAGACTATAATATGTAAGGTGATTCAAAAGTTGGTTAACTGAAATATATTTGTATTATTTTAAAAACAGATACATTTTATTAATTAATAATATACGTTACACCAGTTTGAGTGTATTTGAAATATCCTCATTAAGCCGCCATATTAGATTCTCGGTTAAATCCATGGTGGTGCAACGTAAAGGAGTGGAATGCCATCTATTGTTTAGTTCATTCTATTCTAATTTATTTTATTTATTCGCAATTGAATTTATTGACTATAAAATGATAATAGAAAATAAATGTTAATTTTTACAATATTATTTATGCAGCCGTATAGGATTGCCGGATGATGCAGCTACTTATGGCATAGTTTTTGGAACAATCATATCCGCTTGTTCACTCGGGTAAACTATTTTAAAGTTTACTAATATGAACAAATTTATCATTACATTCTCACTTACTAATTAATTCTTTACTATTTTTATTATTATAGCTCTTTCATCGGCCCATCTTTAGGTGGGTTCTTATTAGATCACGTTGGTTATAAACAAGGTACATTGTATGTAGCGAGTGCTGAATTTATAACTGTAAGTTTAATATTATTTATATATAAAAACTAAATGCAAACTTCGATATAGCGCTCTCCCTCGATCTCAAACTTATGTATAGACTTTTTCACTTTCACGGCCATATGAATGCTATGGCGAGAAGTCTCACCTTCTTAGGAACTTCCCTGCACTGATCACTACTAATATTTTGTTTTGTATCTGTATAATATCTCTAAAGAAATTAATAGACCTCAAAAGTGTGTTAACACTGCCCTGATTATTTAGTTTGACATACACTCGACCCCCCCTATAACACTGTAGATAATTCCGTTTTATATGAATTCTATGTTGTACGAGTCACTTAGATTTTACAAATACGTATGCCGGGCTGTGAACGGCTCACGTATTTGTAAAATCTAAGTGACTCGTACAACATGGAATTCATATAAAACGGAATTATCTACAGTGTTATAGGGGGATCGAGTGTACTTCATCTTAACGCCATTAACGAACAAGTGCTAGCGCTAAATGGAAGTTTGGCTACAAATTTAGAAGTTACATCGATTGTTTTTTTTTAAATGATAAACATAATTAATTTTTAGGGAATAATTGTTGGAAGTTTTGCGATATGGCTTAAATTTCGGCGAAGAACAGATGAAGAGGCTCTTCTAATAAATTAATGAATGTAATATACCACGTATTAGTACAGAGTGTTTGACATACTTCATCTTAACGCCATTGACGAACAAGTGCTGGTACTAAATCTAAACTTTACGATCACCCTGTATATAATGTATACGTATACTATAATGTATAAACTTCGAAGAGAAATAATTTTTTATCAAAATCTGAGTAAATTAGCTCCAAAATTTTTTTAAAAAAGGCAATAGATTATCATAGACAAAGTTTTCGAATGACCTAAGGCGTATAATTTTGTAATACTTAATGCACTAAAAAGTCCAAATAGAGAAGTACTGAATGTAAGTAGAGTAGTACATTCTTTAATTTTCCTCCTGAGATTTTTGATACTTGATATCGCTTGAATTGCTTTTTATAAGTGTCTGTAAAGTATAAAAAACAAAATAATTTTGATTTTTTTAATAATAAAAGTTTAAATCATTTTAATTTATTAATTTAAAAAAAGAAGTAAATTATTATACTTTCTGAAGTTGTTGAAAAACTTGGTTATACGACGAATGATGAGATATTCGAAGTAATAGTCTTTGATTTTCCTTTTCGATTCTCTCTTTTTCTTTTTTTCTTTTCGTTTCATTTAAACTATAAACAAGAACAGAATTAAACTTCAAAATTTCTAAATTTATTTTCTAATTAGAGATTATTATAATGAATTTTACTGCATACAGAATGACTGAGGCAGTAAAAATTCACTCCTAAGGGATCCGGGTTCGAGTTTAGTGTAATTCTCATAAATTTTCATATGTTTGCAAACCGTTCCTCATTCCTTAGAATTGATCGCATCCATGATGTAACCAAGAATAAAGATCCTTTTAATGTTGTCAGAGGAAGAGAATAAGAAAATAAATCTTACCTTTTTACAACGTATTTGTTCTTACAATCGACTCTTCCGCCATTTTTCATAATGGTAGCCATTTGATTAAGTAATCTAGAATTTTCTTTTTCTATATTCTGATTCCTTTCTTCTTGTAATTTTAGATTTCTCAGTTTAACGTGAATATGAAAATAATCGGATGGAGCCCTCGTGTCCACCACGGGTTGTGCGTTATTCAACTAAAATAACATCAAATAAATATGGTTAAACCTCGATTTTTTTAAAATAATTATTTATTTATACAAAACTTTAATTATTGTTTCTGCGAGTTAATGTCTTTTTTAAACATTTTAATCATTAGATTTTTATATAAAAAAAGTTCGAATACAGTAGACTCCCTATAACGCGGGTTCCTACAACGCGAAATTCGTATAACGTGGAACGTATCTACCGCGTTATAGGGGATCTACTGTATCTTCATTTATTTCTTTATTTTCTTACGTGAAGCACAAATTTGGTATTATCTTTCGAAGATTTTAATTCTTCTAGAAGCAGCAATGCCTGTAGAATTGGGTAATAAAAAAGCAAATTTTATTTTTATTCACTTTTTTTTTTGTTTTTAAATTAAAACTGCCTCTGAGATTTATTTACTTCATATGTATATTTATTTACTTCATATGTATATGAAATATATGTATACTGTATAGCCTGAAAATGCGTAATGGGAAAGTTGCATCGATGCATTAAAACCATAGAGATATAAAGGATATTATTTAGAATATCATATTTAGAACATGATGACCCTAATAGAAATTTATTCGGATGAACAGAGTGAGAGAAACACAGGAATGGTCGACATAACTAGCTGTATTATCGGCTGAATAGAAAAGTTCGACGATATTAGAAGTCGATTTACGTAATTTTTCGCTCTTTAAAATTGTATTTAATTCGTATTTGTATTTATGTCAGAATAGTTTTCATTTTCTGTCTATAATAAATAATCGCATATAAAATATTATGCAAAACTTTATTTCATTTCTATCGCCACGTATTTATAAAAAAAGGGCCCAGGGCCCACAATAGGGGCAGCCGGATGCTGAGGGACGGGGCCCAACATATCCGAATGTACCACACCCCGAAAATTTCCTGGGGATTTTTTACCTGTCCGGGTCTCCAAGATCGGTAAGCAGTCACCTTGACCGCTCGGCCCTCTTACTCGTCGGTGATTTATTTCGCAAATTGCTACATTATGAAAAAATGGCCGTTGGATCAAAAAGCAATATAATTAAAAACAAATAACTTTTAACACGAACAGTTATGCACTGTATAATCTGCAGACTGATTAAGAGCGTGCGTAAATAAATTGAGAGCACACGGCAGCATAAACTGATATAAAATGTACAACAATGCCCACAGTGTTCGTATCGCATATAACTTAACAAATTTTGCGAAAATACAAAACGTTCTGTAATCCAGTACCACTTTGGTCTTATAGGTTCAGGATTAACAAACTTCTACTGTAATATTTCATTTGGAACTGGAAATTTCGACTACATAAGACTTAGCAGTTTAGCTGAATTGGCTGGTTTCTATTGACTTTTTTTATTATGCGTGAAAGAATATTCTAGGTATAATCGGTCACGAAACGAATATAGATTGATCAACGTACGAAATATACGTAAGGGATGAAAAAAAAGCTAGCACTTTTGAATGATACTACTAGTATTTTTATGTATTATTATTATTATTACAGTTATTTACTTAATTTGTGAAATAAAATAGCCTTAATAGTAGTTTACTATTAAGGTTAATTAAACTACTATACATGAAAAACTGATATTTAGTCTACTATGTATTTAAATCTCTTTATGTATAGATACAGACATGGTTAGTAAATTTAGTGTATACATAGTGTATATTCTGTATTATTTTAAGGATCTACATCACGAGTGTTTTAAATCTTAAATGATGATATAGGAAAATTTATCTTTCATAATTTATACAATATTAATGCGTGACATTTATGGGCAATCGATTAAAAAGTTTAAAAAAGTACTTTAAATAACACTTTCATGCATTATTTATAGATATGATTAACTATAAATGGTCTAAATACCTTTTCTAGATGCCTGCGATATTTGTCTTCTTGCCATCTTTTCTGTAAAAACTTATTGGGAGAGGAGAAAGTGTTGTTGGGTTTTTGCATCGTTCCCCGAAATGGTCATTCTGTAGATTTAGTAGCAATACACTCTACAGAATTTCATCGATCGATAAATAACGTGCAAGTACTACACACAAGTAGCCAACCCGCATTAGAACAAAAAAAAAAAATATTTGTATACGTTTTATTTAAAAAGGAACAGTTTACACTATAGTCTTTCAGGCTATATTCTTTCAAAAAAGAATAAATACTTGACGTATAATCACGTTTACTACTACAAAACAAAACACACATATGTTCTATAATAATGCTTTCTACTGAAAGTTAAATTATATATTAAAAACATATGTCGTTAATAAAAGAAAATTGGTCCTTGCAGAATATAAAACAATAATCACTTGGCATTAAAATATTTAATGGACACGTTGTTATATTAACGAGAATTCCATACTGAAAAATCAATGAATGAACACATACAAATGTATTGATTTTATGCCAGAAACGTTAAGCACTATTATGTACTTCAAGAATTTTATGTTATATTAATTATATTATTTTAATTTTTTTAATATAAAGAATATACTTATTTTAAACAGGACAATGAATGAAAACTGTAAATTTCTCATTACATCCAAAAATTTTCTCCTTAATGGAGTTAGATTGATGACTGGCATGGCTCTATTGTTAACAGGAAAAGTATGATGTACAGGGGCAAGATACCATTAAAATTCAGAGCATTATGATAATGTCACAAATAAATAATAGCTCGTTTTCGAATTGATGGTCCTGCTCTTCTGCCACTAAAAAGCGCACAACAGCTCTACGTTCTTCCTTTGTGGAATCATCGAATCCATTGCTACGCTTGGATGAAACATTATTAATTAATATATTGACGTTTGTGGTTTTTATTCTGTCGCAATAAACGCGATGTGTAGTACACGATTCAGTTTAGTTCATTATGCAGTTTTACAGAACTTGCATGATCATTAAGCTATTATGACACTCATACAAATATAGAAAGCCCAACAAATAATTTTTGCACCAGCTTTTGGCACCCCTTTTCCAATACTCATTGAGAATAAAGGTTAGTCATAGAACAAAACTGTAAAAATTCAAAATTATCTATCCCATTTTATCATAAATTCTACTATATCCTAATTACAATTATGCAAATTCATATAAAATAAAACAGACAAGTTTCATTTCCATTTTAATCAGTAAAATTTTTATTATTCATTTGAATAATCAGCAAAAAAGCAATTAAAAAACATATTATAATCATTTGGTGCATATGTTAACATTTTTTACAATACAAATTTATATAAAAATTTTTTAAAAATTAAACAAACATAATTTTTTAAACTCTGCACTTATAAATATATTTAATAATTTTTTTATATTAAAAATATTTATATATTTATCTTTATCTATCACAGAAAATTTATTAAATGACATAGCAATTTTTGTGTTAATATTTATTAAAAGCATTTAATTTTATTTTTGCATTCCTTTTAAGACACAGGCTTATATCTTTATTCTGGTATATCATAAATTTCTTTTAATTTTACAATTAATTCTTTCTTTTCGTTTTCTGGAAGGAATGATGACTTGGCAGCATTAAAATTCTGTAATTAAACATAAGGTCATAAAACACTTAAAATTAATAATAAAAATTACAAATACACATATATGTAGACTATAAATTTTAATTATTATTCGTATTATTAAAAATTTAAATACTAAATGATCTACTATTATCAAAAAATTATGTAGATTTTATTAAGTTATTAAGCATACAACACTNTGGATGGGCCAAAAAACATTAGGAATTTTTCAGTGGGTAATCTGTACAGATTTAATGATCCTCATCACCTAGACAATCTATTGTTTGTGATGATATAAATAAATACTTCTCAGCAAGCATAAGTTGGATGGTATTCTCCAAACTTGATCCCTCTGGAATTTTTCCTTTAGCATCACCTAAAAGAATTGGTGTTTGATGCTTTTTATGCCCAGCAGGACCATGAAATATTGGCAAACTGGGGAGATGCATATGACGGACCTGTGAAATAGTGACACCAGAAATACTGTGAGTACACAATGCTACTCATGATCATCTACATCTTGTATTGCCATTAGAAAAGATTTTGAACATGTTCTTTAATAAAATAAAGTAATATTTTATGTCAATTCCTGCAATGTTGTCTTTATCCTTTACAGAAAGAGATTATTTGTATGTTATGCAAAATGGTCTTAAATTGATTCACTTTGATCTTTTTAGTGCTGGAACAAGAATGCACAACATGCATACATTTGTATAATGATGGAAAAATCTCTTTGACCCTTGAGATCAGAGCCAGATCATCACATAGACAGATGAGACAAATGTCTAGGGCCCGGTTTTTAGAAGGGCCAGGTCAAAATGTCTATTTTGAAAAGATTTGTAAATAAGATGGTTTACTCTTCTGGATTTGTAAATAAGATGGTTTACTCTTCTGTTGGACAACTGTATAATACTGGTAAAACATTATATTATTTAAATATTAACCAAAAAGGTTAAATTAAACAAGTAAAATGGCAAAACCGTATTTGGGACAAGACTATGTCTCGGAGACTCACTACTAAGCGGAATCACTTTGACGCTCAAGGCAGGCCTCGTTCTCATTCTCTAATCTTCTTCAGTATCGCTGCTTTTGGGTGCGATCGTTCAAACTTCGCCAGCCACGACTATGAGGTCGCCCACGATGCATTTTCAATAAAATTAACTTATCCAATTTCGAAATTTCTCTCCATTGCGTGTCAGCCAAGATTGAATTTTTGTCGATGCCTAACGAAAATTTCCCGTTTTTGAAAAAAATAATCATAGCTATTGTATCGTCCAAAATTATTTTTTTATTTTGCACAAACAATATACAGTTTAACCCAATTATAACGT